AAAAAAAAAAAAAAAAAAAAAAAGAAAGAAAAGAAAAGAAACAGCCAAACAGAAAAATAGGCAAAAGAAATAGTCTATTCCCCAAAAGGGAAACTCAAATAGCCAATAAACATGTAAATTGATAAGCAACATCACTATTATACAAGGAAATAGAAAATATCTTTTTTTTTTTTTTTTAAACTTATCACAGTGGCAAACCCTTTAAAAATGCTTTGGCTGATAAGGGGAGGTGGGTACTCACCACTGCTGGTGGGAATGTAAACTGATAAAACCTTTGTGGAGAACAATGTGAGTACTATTAAAATTTTAAATATACACACCATTCAGCCCAGCGATTCAATTTTTAGAAATTTACCCTAAAAATACATTCACATATTCTTTACAATAGGCTCTGAAAAATGAGAAACTACCTAAATATCCATCCATACAGTCTTATTTCACAGAGCAATTAAAAAGGAGACAGCTCTAAATGTACAACACAAAATGCTCTAAGATATATAACCTGAGTGAAACTGCAGGGTACAAAACGGTGTATAAAATACACTGCCATACAGTAATATGCTTGTATATGCCGGATAACTCTGGACAAGACGCCAGTCACAGCGATTGCCCCTGGGGAAAGGAACTGCACAGATGGGGAGTAGAGGATTTCCTTTTTGCTAATCTATCTTTTTTCTATTAAAAACATTGAGGTAAACCTCTCCGTGCTAACATGGAAGATCTCCAAGACATAGAGTTGAGCAGGGGAAAAAAGTATAATGTAAATTCTACAGTGGGATATATATAGAAATATGTATGTACATATCTACACACACACACACACACACACACTGTATACACTAGACATGTATGTAAACGCATTGAGTAAGAACCAGAGGAATAAAAACAAAACTGATTACATGGGTTGTTACCTCAAGGAAAAAGACTAGAATGGCAGAGTGGGTGGATTCTCCAGGAGTTTTTCACACTATCTTTGTTGTTTGATTATTTTTAGCACAGGAATAAAATCATATATTACTTGTATAATTAATTGTTTACTTTTTCTTTAGAAACAGGGTCTTACTCTGTCATCCAGGCTGGAGTGCAGTGGTGCGATCACAGCTCATCGTAACCTCAAACTCCTGGGCTCAAATGATCCTCCCTCCTCAGCCTCCCAAGTGGCTGGGACTACAGGTATATGCTACTATACTGGGCTAAGTTTTTACTTTTTATAGAGAAAAGCTGTCACTATGATGCCCAGGCTGATCTCCAATTCCTGGCCTAAAGTGATCCTCCTACCTCTGCCTCTCAAAGTGCTGTGATTATAGGCATAAGCCGCCATGCCCAGCCCATGTTTGTATAATCAATTTTTGATAGTTTTGATGTACACCAGAATTAAGAACCATTGTTCTATCAGGCTTACTATTCTAAGCACCAAAGCTGTTTCACACACTTTTCATAATCTCACAGGTCCTAGAGCAGTGCCTTCTATTAATGGGAGTTTCTGCTCTTTAATGAATAAATAGAGGAAAGAAATGCCTCCACTTATACCACCTGCCATCAGCAGGCCTCATACCAGTACTTCTTCACCACCTGACGGGTTCTAAACAACTCTTGGACTTGATGTGCCATGTCCTTGTCCCAAGCCAACACCATTACGCCTGTGGTTTCCTTGTCCAGCCGGTGGCACAGGTGCAAGGGCTCTGCCTTGTGGCCATGAAGCATCTTTGCCAGGATAGGTAGTACATCACTGATGCAGAGCTGGACCCCAGGGCCACCTAAGAAGGAGAAAGCCAGAGGTTTGAGTGGCCAGAAAAAGATCTTACCAAAGAATTACTGGGAAGAAAAGCCCTTAATGGATAAACTGTTAATATTTTCTAGAGCTTTACTACTGAAGGGTGGTCCAGAGACTAGCAACAATGGCATGTCCAGGGAGCTAATTAGAAATGAATATCCAGCTCCCAACCTAGACTACTCAATCAGAATCTGCATTTTACAAGCTGCCCAAGTGATTCATAAGCATATTGAAGTTTGAGAAGCACCGTTCTAGAGCATGTGGCTTTCATCTCAGACATCTTTTGCAAGACCATGAGGCCCTTGAGAAGCATTAAATAAGAGTGATTAAGATGATGGGCTTTGGGGTTAGACATTCCTGGGGTTCTACTCTACTCTTCTTACTAGCCCTTCGACCTTGGAAACATTACTTCTCTTTCCAACTTTGCTTTCTTGTTATAAAATGTAAATATCTGGAAAACAACTTCTTTGGGGAATGGGAAGGCAAAAGGCTGTTGTAAAAATCAAGCGAGAAAAAATTACAGAAACACTGGGCAATGTCTGATTCAATTCCTTGTCTTTATGAATGACTATCTCCGTATCACCCCAAAAAGCATTACCTTCTTCTAATTAAAATGGGCCTTCTCCCTCTGCAAAATTATTTCACAAAAGCATTTTTTAAATCAATCTTTCCTGACTCACCTCAGCTGTTCCTGACAACTACACTCGACATTTGTTGAAACATTTGAGTATACACTAAATTCCAGTCACTCTAGGGTTGTATGTTATGTATACTCCAAAACAAACAAACGTGCACACACCCCACACACACACACACACACACACAGCCTTATTTCTTATGTATCATTTTCTCATTCCCAGTGTTGATGGAAGATAACCTTTAGTCTAGAAGCACACAGCCTTTGCATATCTCTACAGTGGTCCCTGTAGTCTGCACACAGCATATTCCACGAATTGCTGTTTATTGTCAGATGTTTGGAAAGTGAGGGCTCTTATTTATTTCTGTGTCCTGGGTGGTTCCTTATATTGGACGGTAGTCTACAAAGGTTTAATTAATTTGAATGCAAGGCTTCAGAGTGCACCACAATTAACGTGTCAGTTTTCCTCGATTGTAGCAGAAAGCAGCTTCCCCTTTCCCACGTGATCCTTACCATGCACAGGGAGACCGTAGGGCTTATTGATGACCACAAGGTTCTTGTCCTGGTGGAGAATTCCTCGGGTTAGTGCCTTAGCAAGCACGTTAGGGTGGACTCGCTGTAGCTGCTGTGTGTACCGCACTAATTCTTGCACTCTCCGCTGAACAGGATTTGTGGACACCTAGGGAGAAAGGAGCGGTGGGGAATGCCTGGTGCGGAAGCGGGAAGAAGACTTTCCATAAAGGTCTGGGTGAGAATCTAAGTAGGGAGTGACTATCTTTGCATCAGACCCGCGCCTTCCTCGAGCAACTTGAGAGCAGGGGTACGCGTCTGACTAACCTGCGTAGCCACGCAGTGGTTAGGACCGAGCCTGACAGTAACCAAAGACCCAGCTCAAGAGAAAACACCGTACCCTTACTGACCCCTCCCCTTCGCCTTCTCCCGACTCTCCCACCTTGCGTCCAGGGTATTGACTTACACGCAGTCAGAGGACCCTTCTACCTACTCCCCGTCTGGGAAACCAATGAGCGCACTGCCTTTTGGGAGTTGTGGTCTTTTCGCACTCACCGGCTCCTTCTTTGTGACTTGTTCCTGTTTCTGGGCTCTGAGCTTCTCCGCTAATCTCTGAGCATTTAAGGGCTCAGAGGCAGCGGCAGCGGAACAAAATGGCTTTGAGATGAGAATTAAGACACTCCCTAAACCCTGGCTGTTTCCCCGGATCCAGAAGCCCAACACGCTCCACCTGGGAGCCGCCATCTTGCTAGGAAGGGCGGGGCGAGCCAAGACCACGCGGAGAAGGGATACGAGAGGGAGGCGGGAGTGGGTGGGCTCTGCGGGTCACGTGCGGGGTGGAGCCTGGGCGAGTCACGTGGGTCGGTGCGCGCTCAGTGCGGCTGCGCCGGCCGGTAGCTGCAGCTGGAGCGGTGGCGTTTGGAGAAGACGCGGTGAGTCAGTAGGGAAGCCGGGCTAGGGCTGGGACATTCTGGTGCCTCAACACTTTAACGTTTTCCGCTTCCCCGGGATTTCCGCTCAAGAAGAGCACTGGTCTGAGAGTCGCTTCTCCTTTTGGTACACGATCCCACCCAAAAGCTCCTTCCCGCCCCCGCGCCCCTTTAGAAGCGATGTCCCATAAACGCTCTTCCCAGAGCCCTCTTAGGCGCCGACGCCGTCCCTCTTAGCCACTCAGTCTCCGGTTATCCGCCAGTCCCCTGCGGGACGCGTCGGGTACCCTCTTGATCGGATGCCCGGATCTCTGTAGCCTCTCCACCCTTCGTCTTCCAACTCCCAGACTCGGTTTCACGTTGTAACCTGTCCTCCTCTTCTAAGGATGACGGTCCCTTCGTTTATCTAGGGCCCCCAGCCCCTGTTTCCTACTTAGGGAGCAATGTGTTTTTTTCTGTCCTTCCTCAATAATTCATTTCTTGGGGCTCCTCCCTACCTTCCCTACTCCTCCTAAAGAAAAGACTGAAAGTATACGGAGCACAGACCTTCACTTTTCCTGTTTCCTTTATTTTTCCTCTCCATAGTTGCAACCACACCAAACCCTTTCTCACGAGATGCGATGTTGGGATTCCCTTTCCCAAACTGCACGCGACTCCCTCTGATTTCACTCAGGGGTGGCTGGGAAGATAAACATCTGTTTGTGATGGTAGCGTTAAAAATAACTGGGCTACACCTGCCATTTGTTAAGAGGAAGGCTTATGCTGAGTTCAGAAAGAATGTCCTGAAAACTAATGGATCTGTGACGATAGAGGAAACAATTTTTTAAGACTGCTAGAACGAGGGCTGCCTGAGGAGTTTATTAGAGAACGGGTAGTTAAATTAGATTTGGGTTCTGCACGTCCGAAGGGGATTGGCAGAAGGGAGCCATACCAACAAGCTACAAAGTTGATCAGGTGGAGCTACCCATAGAAGATTCAAGTTGAAGAAGAGTTTTAACTAGAGGTGTTAAGTAGTGGGGAGGCTTTGAAGCTTCTTTCGTAGACAGAGACTCCTTGAAAGTGGAATTCTGAATCTCGCAGTTGAATGCCGGACAGATGGAAAAGGAAAGGGTTCATTGATAGCATGAAAACTAGCTACAATCCAGGTGGTCAGTGATGAGGTCATACTTCATTCCGTGGTCTTTTTCCCCTAACCTGTAACTGTACTTTTAAGTTTGAATGGATTATGAGTTATGCAGGTCAAGGCATACTCTTGGCAGCTACTGTTGATCTGTGGGTCCCTGGAAGACTCTTTTTTTTTTTTTTTTTTTTTGAGACAGAGTCTTGCTCTGTAGCCAGGCTGGAGTGCAGTGGCGCAATCCGACGCACTGCACCTCCGCCTCCTGAGTTCAAGCGATTCTTCCGCCTCGCCCTCCCGAGTAGCTGGGACCACAGGCGCGTGCTTTTTAGTAGAGATGGGGGGTTTCACCATGTTGGCCAGGATGGCCTTGATCTCTTGACCTTATGATCCGCCCACCTCGGCCTCCCAAAGTGCTGGGATTATTGGCGTGAGCCACCGCGCCGGGCCAAGACTCTTTTTTTTAAATCCACTCACCTGGCACATAGTAAACTCATCTGTTAGATGGCTGAAGTGCATCATAAATGTGCGCTAGGTGTGTCTGAACATTTTGAATTGTCTTATTTCTGTCAATGTTTAGCCTGAAGAATGAAGGTAGAGGCAGATATATTTGTAAAGTGGGAAAGAAGCAAGGCTTGTGTATGTTTCTGTTATAAGGCAGGTGTAAATGCAGATCAGATATAAATGCAAAGAATTCCAGGGGAAGTGGTAAACAACATATGTTTCTCCTGTCATCCCCCCTCCCCCGACACACACAAATTTACCAGTAGGACAGAGATCTATAAAAGCTGAGAAATTCCACCCTAAAAGAATTATTACCTTCCATGCTCCAGACCTGGGTTCTAATTTCACTAAATAGTTGAACATCACGTGTTGCTTAGATACTTGAAGCTCCCTTTTCCAAGGACCCTGAAATTTTGACATCAAGACTTAAATTCATATCATTACATTAATTAAAAACTTGTTTTGGGTACAGCACATTTGTGGTTTTGTGTACAGCACATTTGTGGTTTTGTGTGGGGGATAGGAGAACCTGTTTCTACACTAACCTTATGGCATTCAAGAAACTACACCTGTTCTTGCAGAATTGGCCTTCTGTGGCAGGAAACAAAATGAACCAACTCATATGTCATTGCTAGTGACACAGAGCTTGTGCGCCTGGGTTTCAAGTGAACTCAAAGCACACACTTAGTGACTAAGAATAAAAACGGTGGTCCCTTTCCCCTGGAGAAGGAACTTTTAGGTTTGTCTTGTTGAAATTTTGTAGAGAAATTTAAAGAATTCAAAGTTTTTGTTTGGTTTGACAGTACAGCTTTAGCCAGTGTGGGTACATAAGTTACCACTTCCTTAATGTTTCTCCTGTGAGTTTAGGCACTTGATGATTTAAAATAGAGTTGTTCTCAGCATAAAGAATTTATGCAATTTCATGTCTTTTTTTTTTTTTCCTTCAATTTTCAAAGAGCAATAATCACCCCTGAGATTAACCTCATTGGCTTCCATACTGCCACTGCAAAAAACTCTTTTTTTTTTTTTTTTTATCTCTATGTTGCCTCCTCCCACTTCCGCATTCAGCTGGTCCTTTTTTAGTCAGTTCACTTCTGTGCCAATGTCACAGTCCATTTGTTGGGAACTCCTCTTGTCTAAACTGTTTTCTGAGAACAAGAAAGAAAATTCTCTTAGTGATTCCTTCATTCTTGCAGAGTACAGCTCTGTTCAAACATGGCTTATTTACATTGATTTTAATATATCATAATATGTGCCCCCAAAATAACCATGTAAAGAAGAACTTGATAGTTTCTTTTTAAAGATATTTCCCAGTCTGTGCAGGAAGAAAAAGGCTGCCTTTGTGTTTCACAGGTATAAACAAGGACTGACTAATAAAGGAACTTGTGTTTATCACAAATGTAAGATTAATTAGTGGCGTAAAGTTAAGTTACACCTCCTCAAACTGTGATTTGCTAGTTGCAGATTAACCAGTGATCCCGTTTCCTCGAAGAGCAGGAAGTACTTCATTGTTTTATAGTTTTAGAGAGATTAAAGGAGGTAATTAGCAGGAGCTCTCAGGAGGTGTCCTGGAAAGTGCAGTCATCGGGAGCCAGGAGGTGTAGACTAGTCCCAGTTCAGCCCTGTGAACTTGAACAAATAATTTGGGCTTCAGTTTTTTGTCATTTAAAAGATCTTTGCAACTCTAAGTTTCTAGTCTACGAAGATTTTCCACTGATACTTAAGTACTTCTCTTTCAGCCCTGATTTGTGGATTTATTTCAGATTTATCTTGAATACATTTAGTATTGACACTAAGAAACTGGATTCTTCTCTTGTCCCCAGAATTTAACTTTATGCCACAGAGCTAATGTTTATATTTGGAAGTTACTTCCTTGAGTGGTGTTGGAATATACCTTAAGATTTCCTAAATGGGGTGGGGCACATGGCTCACACCTTAATCCTAGCACTTTGGAAGGCCTAGGTGGGAGGATCTTTTGAGCCCAGGAGTTTGAGATCACCTGGGCAACACAGCAAGACCTCTTCTCTACAGAAAATCACAAAATTAGCTGGGCTTGGTGGCGCACCTGTGATCCTAGCTGCCCTTGAGGCTGAGGTGGGAGGATCACTTAAGCCCAGGAAGCCGAGGCTGCAGCTACAGTGAAAAGTTTCTCAGGCCAGGTGTGATAGCTCACACCAGTAATCCCAGCACTTTGGGAGGCCGAGGCAGGTGGATTGCCTGAGGTCAGGAGTTTGAGACCAGCCTGGCTGACATGGTGAAACGCTGTCTCTACTAAAAATACAAAAATTAGCTGGGTATGGTGGCATGCACCTGTAATCCCAGCTGTTTGGGAGGCTGAGGGAGGAGAATCTCTTGAACAAGGGAGCTGGAGGTTACAGTGAGCGGAGATCGCGCCGTTGCACTCCAGCCTGGGTAGCAGAGTGAGACTCCGTCTCAAAAAACCAAAACAAAACAAAAACCATTTCTCTGCCCTTCCTATCTCGCAGTCCCATTTTTTAGAGGCAACCACTCAATTATTTTCCTCTTTTTCTGTCTTTACGTAAGTTGTCAACATCATCAGTATTCTTAAAACACCATATGACAAAACCAGTTTTACCATATAGTTTCTATGCCATTTTTCTGGTCACAAAATCATACCCAACTTCTAAATAAAGACCAAAACATTTCTACTATGAAATACTGAAACAAGTAAGATATTCACCCACTTTTTGGTGAGTCAGTAAGTTGCTGCAGTCATAGTGGTGGTGGGTTAAATCAAGGAATAAATGTGCGCAAAGTGAAAATTGTCAGAAGCATCTCCTACCACCATGCTCAGTTCCAAAACAACCACCCATAGGGCAGGCTCACTGAGAGCTTTTGTGCCACATCAGTTATTGTTGTGCATTTGGATGATTACCAGAGACTTTGCAGATTTTTATTGATGGTAATTTGTAGTCATTCATGCATTTTCCAGCTCAGGCTCACAGGTGGCTAGAGCCTATGCCGGCAGCTTAGAGCACAAGGCCGGAGCCAGCCCTGGACAGGACACCATATATCCCATAAGGTGTGCGTGCATGCACACACAAACACAGGGACCATATAGACACACTAGGTAACCTAATAGGTACATCTCTTTGGGACGTGGGAGGAAAGCAGCATATCTGGAGAAAACCCACACAGACGGTGACCTCAGCCAGCACTTATTTTCTCATTAATGTTATGAAAAAACGAGGTCAAAGAAGAATGTTTTCTGAGGGTCTGCTGTATCTTCTTGTTGCTAAATAGTTGGTTTGTTATTCTTTCTTGGTTTTCCCCTCATGTTTGGTCTGTTGATTTCTTGTTGCCATAGATTAGTATTTAGCTCTTGCATCCCACCACTTTCCTATTTTTCCATGCCCTCTAC